ACAGCCGATTATTGCATTTCAAGGAGTGACACATGTGTGGGATCTGTCAACTCTTGGTACCAGTCACAAAACATATACTCTGAAGTGTCAATTCCTTGCTATTTAATGACAACACGGTGACTTGTGTGGTTATCAGCGGCCATTTTGTGAGGGTGCGACAGGGTTGCCAGATTGTGCATTAATATCCCGTTTCATCCTCCTGGTCCCAGTGCAGTAAGTTGCGCCAACTGTTGAAATATACTCTACTATGCTTTATAAGACTATTCGTGACATTTTTCCCAAAATCATTGCACAACACTTGAAAAAATGAAAATGAAGATTTAAAATTATTTCCGCAATATAGCTCCGTCGGTACTTCGGGTTATACATCTTCACAGTAGAGGTGTTCGATACGATCCTATATTTAGAAGTATCAATACATTTCACGAGTATCCTCATCTTTCGATCCAGACTGTGTCAGAAAGAGTGACTGCCATTTGGCTGCGACATTACCCTGCCAAATCAGACATACCTTTCATCATTTTCAAAGAAATTGTACAAAATCTTCAAATTTGTGAAGTTAGCGAGTTTCACTTCATACGTTGTTACCAAACATGCCCAAATCATCAGTTGCTGCCGTGATATTCATCCCGACCACTGCATCCCCACGGCTAGGGGACCTGTATGTTAAATTTGTATTGATGAGGCAGCGGGTTATGCTATAAATCATATGTCACAGTTTTTTTGCACTGATTGATACCAAAAATATTTTCATAAATAGGAGATCTTTCCATTCCGGATCGAACAATCTACGAAAGATGCTTATAATCATGATACCTAGTAAATCTTCACGAAAAAAATTCAAAACCAGCAAATGTAAAAGATTCATTTCGCACCCTCCACCACGGGACGTGATCGTCGTTAGACTTGGCAACCCTGCGAGTGTCAGATAGATATCCCCGCCAGTCAAAAAAGAAAAATAGACCAAAAATTGTAGTTATTAGTAGTTTTTTTGATTTTTGGGCTTGAAAGCCATTATCTGTGAGACATTTTTCATAATTTTTTGTCTATGTCCATAGTAATTGCATTATGCATCAGGGAGATGTAGGGATTGACACGTCTTACACATATTATCTGTGTTTTAGGATGGAGAAGACATAATGTTTTTATTGCTTTGAAGAAATTCATTAACCCATAAATTAATAAATGATTACTATTATGACATAAAGGAAGATGAGGAATTGGATGGAATGCATTTTATATTCTATTTTCTTGGAAAATACAGACAAATCCACACTATTCAACAGGTATGTAATGATAACTTTCAGTATATTGACGTTGGTAAATTCGAGTGCCATGCATTAACAAACGTCCAAATCTGCTGCCAAATTTAACAGCTAGAAAATCGACCTATTATTTGCCGCATTCCCATTCGCTGACGGGGAAAACGGATTGTTAAATGTATACCTATAACATATATCAAAATAGATGAAAGTTGTCCTGTTTTTTCTGTACAAAAGCATCATGTTGGAATCAAAAAGTGGTCTTGTTTATAATACAGTCGGATTTTCACGATTTTATTCAATATTTCAATAGAAATCACTAATATTCAGAGACCTTTGACAGCTTCTGTCAAATTGCATTTCGATAAGGTATTTTTCCATTGGTCCATAATATTGATGTTGGTGAAATCGGCCCTAAAGAAGTTAAATAAAGTATGCCTACGTTTTGGAAATCTGTAGACAGTCTATTCCTTTTATTCGAGTAAATCCAGTGTACTCTTTCTCTTTTACATCTTTTGATTCTCCTGCATGTTAAACAAGCACAAGTAGCCTCTTCCACATATTTACATGTTTCCTAAGGCTAAGTTCAGATGATCCGGTGCACGTTCGCCCGACGCTGGCTTCAAAAGTACACGGAAGTAATACTAGCTATTCACATGAAAACGCGCGTACGACAGTACCAAACGCAAAGTATCTCAATACAGGGTGCGGCATATCTTCCTTCTTTGAAAATTTAATAAAACCCATTGTATGAATCCGAACATTTTATTTTTTTTGTGATGTAGGCGCATACCTAAAGTTTTGTTTTACATAGTTTTGATAATCAAATCAGATAATCGACATCCTCCATATACTGAGTACACCGATTTCTCGCGTTTGTCATGACTCTTGCTAGCATAACAGGGGTTATGTTGACAATTTCCTGATTTATGTAGGCCTTCAAATCTTGTAGGGTCCTTGAACGATTCACGTAAACATGCTTTGTCAAGAAACTCCTTAGAAAAAAATCACTACATATCAAATCGGGATACCGAGCCTGCCACTCCAAATCGCTCGTAATTGAGATGAGGCGCTCTGGGAAGTGTTCGCTTAAAACAGCCATCAATGCTCTTGAAATGTGTACCGTTGCACCGTCTTGCTGGAACCAAATGTCCAGCTCATCTTACAGCGAAAAGGAACTCCTGTAGCATGTTTACCTACATACCGGTCCGAATTCACTGTCACTGTGACTTCATTTTCTTCAAAGAACCAGGGACTAATAATTCCATCTCAAAAAACAGCACAGTACACTATAACTTTTACGTGAAAGCAAAGGCCTTTGATGCAATTCTCGAGGATTGGTGTTAGTCCAGTAGCGCATCTTTTATTTGTTGACGGATCCAGAAATAAAAATGGGCTTCATCACTTAAAAAAAAATAATAGCCTCTACAGGAACGACTTGGAGAAGGTGCGTTCATCCGAAAACTGAAGTCACGTTCAGTTAACCCCTGCACAGTAGGAAAGTCCAAGCTTAGACGCATGTTTGCGCGCAGAATGCTGTGGTGATCGCAACATTGAAGCTCTCACTGCCTCAGTGTTTTCGGGTGATCTAATGGGCCGAGGCACACCAGCACTTCATCTTACTGCACTTGCAGCTTGTCTGAAGGTTGTGACCCACGTAACAATCGATTTTCGGTCCGGGACAGGCGCCAACGAAACTAAATTAAAGCGATTCCGAACGGCCCGCTGCGCTGCGATCACAGAACATCCGCTCAAAAAGCAGGCATCATCGGCAAAAGCACGTTCCTCACTGTTCCAACGCATGCTGGCAACTGAACTGTATTGTATTTATAGTCCTGCCACTTGAACGAGACTACTAGCGCTCGACTTCGACATCAACCGACTGAATTGCGCGTATCTTAAAAAAAGGAAATTATGCTGCCGCATCCTGTAGATATTCCCATTGCCTGTTCAGTTGGTGCTCGTCATTTGATGCATTCATAAAGCTGCAAAAAACCGTTTGGCAGGAGATGGTTCTAATTTTTGCATATGCAACTAAGACGAGGAAAAAAGATGTTAGGTAGATTTGATATAGTTAAAGATTACGATAAAAGCAAATCATTCTGTCGTGCCTTTCAACGATTTTACGGACAATATAAAGTAGATCGTTTCATGTTTCCGAAGGCTGGGAAAGAGTATACGGAATAAACCTGTGGAAAATCGTTCACTTCATTTTATTAATTTTTTTTTAATAAATAAGCAGCCGCGCAGGCAGAAGCCTAAATGCCGGAATACCGCGGCTGCTATGATGATCCCAAGGAAATTTTATTAATACGATTTTTGAACTGCCTAAGGTTAATAGAACTGGGAAAAGCTTCCTCTTGTAGATTGTTCCACAATCTCGACACCTTCGGGACAAAGGAGTGCTCGTATCGGCCGGTTCTGGATGTACGAAGTTTGACACGGTTAGGATGGGACGCCAAAGTTAGGAGGGTCTGTCTGGCAGGCACATCGCGCGACGGCATCATGGAAGAGAGCTCTGAGGAGCAAAGCCCGTTGGTGTAACTGTAGAAAAGAGCCAGATCGCCGACAGCCCGCCGGTGCGAAAGAGTCCCGAGACTGTCTGTTAGTGAAGAGTCATTGACCAGTCGGACCGCCCTCCTCTGGACAGCATCGAGCATGGATAATGTAGTCGGGGCGGCAGCACCCCAAACGTGCGAGCAATACTCGAGGCTAGGCCTTATTTGGGCCTTGTATAGAGTGAGAAGGTCATGCGGAGAAAAGTACTTCTTAGCCCTAAACAAATAGTCTAGCTTTTTTCCAGCAGCTGCAGCTATTGACGAGATGTGTTCGTGCCAGATCAGGTCCTCGGTGATCTGGACTCCGACCAGCCGAAATGAATGGCTCTTTGGCAGAACTCGACCATCCATCGAAACCGGGTGAGCGCAGGGACGCTTTTTGTTCGTCAAAGTACAGTACTGCGTTTTGGAAGCATTGAACTGTACAAGATTGTTGCGTCCCCAAGCAGTGATAGCCTCCAGGTCTCTTGTCAGAGAGGAAGTCATCGCTAGTCTTCTTTTTTCCAACTCAGCGGCAGAGATCGGCTTGTCACTCTGAATTCCTGCATGCAGAGTGCTGTCATCAGCGAAGCTGTGGATTGGGTTGATCGTGCAGGAAAGGAGGTCGTTGATATGTAAGAGAAACAGTGTCGGAGCCAAGACCGATCCCTGGGGAACACCCGCGTTGACGTTGTGGGATGAAGAGGAGAACCCGTCAATTACGACGGATATCTTGCGGCCAGAGATAAAGTCAGCCACCCAGCTGCAAGGCTTTTCTGGGAGGCCATAGGATGGAAGTTTGCTTAAGAGGGCAGCGTGCCACAGCTGATCGAATGCTTTCGTGATGTCAAGAGCAACGACATGAGCCTCACCATAAGACTGGATGAGTTTACTCCACAACTGAGTGACGTAAGCTAGGCGGTCCCCTGTGGATCGTTGGTGACGGAAACCACACTGCCTGTCGCTGATCAAGTCGTGACGTTCGAGGTAGTCCAGAAGCTCGCGATTTATGCACCTCTCCATCACCTTACTTAACTCTTCTGTATGTTAACCAAGCATAAATAGCTTCTTCCACATCCTTCCTCACCGATTCGACAAACCGGCCACTTCAACGTGCGTGGGATACGTGACATCAGAACTAAGCCTTAGGCTGCGGAACACACTGACAGACAGACAATTTGGACGACCGTAAAAATTCCAGATAGATGGCAGCAGAGCAACTCTCAAAAAAGACAGAAGCAGCACATTGAAGCGCACATATTGAGAGGCACCGTCTAGAGCAATTCTGGTCTGTGAGTATAAAGTAGGAAGTGCCTTTGTCAACGATACGAGCGTTTCATAGAAAAAGTATTCCAAAGCTAAGTAATGTTTTTTAATGAACCAAAGTCTGATATATTTCGCAATCTGTATACAGGGTGTTTCGCAATGTAATGGACAAAATTTTTCTGCGTGTTCCTCAGTTCAATTTGAGTGGAAAAACTCCTATGAACATGGGTCCGCCAATGCGTCGTTATCGAGATAATGATTTTTTCATTTTTAGGGTGCTAATGGTTGGAAAACTACAATATTGATGGAAAATTACTTTTATTTAACACAAAATTACTAGGTACAATAAAAATAACTATTCACAATAGTATAGTTGTTGCGACTGTCCATCTTCACACTGTAAAAATATAGTAGCCCGTTTAATAATGTGACAGGTGGCTTTCCCAATAACAAGACGATTACTTCTTATGTCGTCAGCGACTTCAGCAATTTTACGGAGCAGTTCAGCCCTGGTATGCGATTTCTCTGCATACACTAAAGACTTCATATGTCCCCACACCTAATAATCCAAGGGATTTAAATCGGGCGAGCGGGGTGGCCAAGAAGCTGCGCTCCGTCGTCCAGTCCAACTCCCAGGAAAAGTATTATTTGAATACTCAGTCACATTTCCACCACTGTGGAGCGGAGCACCGTCATGCTGTAACCACATCTGTTATCTTCTCTGCAGCGAAATATCCGCTAACAACACAGGCAGTTCTTCTCATAAGAATTGAAGATAAACTTCAGATATCAACCGACCGTCAAAAACACAAAAGGGCCAACTAAATGATCCCCTAACAAACCGCACCAGACCGCATCAGAAATTCTGTTCGACAGTTGTGTGGGGATTTTCAAGCTGCCAAGAATGGGTATTCCTCAAATTATTGACGCCATCTCGAGTAAAAGTAGATTCGTCGGTGAACAAAATCTTTTTAACAAGACTACGATTTGCGAGGAGTCAGTTACAAAACTGCATACGAGGATCCGAATCAGTGAGCAGCAGAGCTTGGACAGGTTGCAGATGAAATGGGTACAAACCAATGTTATGCATTGTTCTCCACACAGTCATTCGGCTAACACCAGTGCGACGTGATATTCTGCGAACGCTGATTGATGGTGACCGTCCAACACTATCCAGTATTAAGTCATGGGCAGCTTCTGATGGACGTGTTACAGTAGCATTTGGAACCGATTCTGTTGCTTTCAATTGTGCCAAAACTCTTCCAAATACTCTTCTGTCAGGTATTGTTCGATTTGGATACCGGCAGCGGTATACGTTCACTGATGTTCTGCCATTTCCGTTGCAATATCCGTAGACAAACATCATGCCACCGTATTCTTCACTTGTAAAAACAAACATGACAGTAATTTTTGCAAAGTTGAATGAAACCGACACAACTACTCCGTCAACAAACAAACAAACACCAGCGTATTAATCAAGTAAACAGTTTTCATACGATCAGTATCAAATTTTTTGTTAAATAAGAGCAATTTTCCAACAATATTGTGGTTTTCGCCCACTAAAAATAAAATGATCATATCTCGATAAGGAAGCATTTGCAGACCCAAGTTCATACGACTTTTTCGACTCGAATTGACCTGAGCAACACGCACAAAAAGTTTGTCCCTCGCCTCGCGGGACACGCTGTATATATAAAAATGGATCTCTGTTTCCCGTGGTCACGCCATAACTTGAGAACGACTTTATCGATTTCATTTATATTTTTTTTCAAAGTTTCCTAGTACTTTATAGAAGGTTCTTACGGATAAAAAATTAAGAAAATTGCGCATAGAATTCGGAAATCCTTGAAAGCCTAATGTTTATTGGAGCTACGCGCGTTTGACACTTCGTTTGAGCATGGAGCACGCACAGCAGAAGAAATATCTCAAGTACTAGAAGAGATAGGCACTTCTTTCCGTCATCTTTATTCCAACAGCTATTGACAGTTAGCTATGTCAGAGAAAAATGAAAATACGGTGCTTTCTTTTAGGTCTTTCATCTCTCTATGAATAAAAATGGCGGACGAAAATACGTCTGTTTTGCTTAATTAACTTTCATTGCTCTATCATTTTGAACTTGACAGCTTGCACGCCGCAAATAGATATTATCGTTTAACATAAATAAATATCGACGAAAAAATGTTTTTATCCAATTAGTAGTGCAAAGTCCATTTTAACCAGTTTTCAGTGTGTTCAGTGAGTTTGACGCCATATATTAAAATTATGATTCTTCAAAATGCCACCAATTAGACGTGGTCGCAGAATTCGCAATGCTGCAAGTCAAAGAAGAAGTCAAAATGACGAGCAATGAGAAGCGAGAAATGAAGTTGAACGGAAAGGCTAAAATTCACCAACGTAGAAGTGTCGCATTTAATCCCACTCGAACTGCATTAAATTATAACGTAGTAATCGATTAAAGTTCACAACACATCGCCGCTATTGTACCAATGAACGTTGTGTCCACATTGCTTCAAGTTTAAAAATGAAGTTTTCACACGACCAGTTGTATGTCTCCTGTTCCCGCGTGGGAAAAGTATAATCATTATCTATTTACGCACCAGAAATCAACAGAAAATGTTGTGTATAAAAAGCATTAGAATAAACACCTTGATTTCGAAATATTTTTATTATTCACCCCAGTTCATAGCTAAGCCAAGACAACATCTCTCGGGTCAGCTAGTACTGAAATGAATATAAGCTTAAGTTACACACTAAGGTCTTACTTTAATAGTTACAATTTTCTTTGTGGCTGCTTGAGCAAAATAACGATTTTGCATTTGTACCTACTTCAACTATAGATTTGTTTTTATCACTCCGAGTCCGAGTACACGTTAATTCTGAACAGACCGGAGGATTTGAGGAGAATGCAAGACTTTGGTGGCTACATGCCTCTTCTATTGGATTGAAAGCTGCAAGATTGTCGGATCGGTTTATTTCTCCCAAATTCTCTTGGGCTATATGTCACATTTGTCATTTATCAAGAATTATCGCATGTTTGAGCTTTAAGTGATGAAGAACGAGGACGTTACTAAGAGTGAAAGGAGATATATTTTAATAAAAACAGAAGAGAAAACCATAATAGATACCGATTCATCACGACTAAACAGAAGCTATTTCTGGCCAGCCTGCTACTGTTAGAGCATTACTTAGAAATCTGTCATATTGTGCGATCTGAGGTCTGGGACATTCTGTTCGTTTTTTCGCACGCGCGCGGTAATTTCGAACACCGGCGATTTACGACGGGTTAAGCGAGTTTAATTTTGGGGAATAATTTTATTTACGGTGACAGGAGAGGCGACAGAATGCGTGATGGATCGGACGCGTTTCCATACAAATCGGCTGGAAGTGTTTTACTTTAGTTCGTTTTTATGTCGCTGCCGACACGTCGGAGCGGGTTCGATGATGCTCTCTGTCAGCGATTTCACCATTTGGTAGATTGCTGTTTATTTGCGTGACATCTATTCAGCGTGTTTCCCACTCAACCGTTTTTCCGTGCTTAGAATGCCACAATCAGCTATTTTGTGTTTTTACCATTACATTATTCCTCCATACAGATACTCTTTTTACAAATAGTGCGGGAATATTGAATTGAAGTATCTCTTGTTTTTGATTCCCCCATGCTTCAGTCGGCAGGAGCAAATTTCGGTATTTTGAAAATATTTCTGCAGATACGGCAAATTCTGTTGAGCATGGCAACATTGCAGTTTGCGTCGCAAGCGGCAAAGTGGCATTTTGCGCTCTTCATAGACATATCCCCTGCTGCTATCTATTTTAATGCAAATTTCAGTGAACCGTCTGCAATAATGGCTGCTGCTGCAGAGACCGTGTCAGAAACTAAAACAAAAAATAGGCCAATCTATTTCAAAAATGCAAAATTCAAATATTTTAAAAATATGTTCTGGAATACTATGCAACCTCGAATTTAGGAGATTGATGGAGCATAATAAAAAAGCGTAGGCCACTGGAAGTAAACTAGTAATAGCATAGCATAGCTTTTGTTTGTTGTCCAGCGACACCACTCCTACACTATGCTGAGGAAGGAGTTTCCAAGTAGGACGAAACAGCTGTCCATGGTTGGCCGTCTTTGCCGTCGGATGAACAAAAGATACATTACTAGTTCGATGGCGAGTAGACCGTATCTAATATAGGTCCAGAATCGGCAGCATCTAGCGCGGCAGCTTTAGGTTTTCACCTTCGCAGTGATTGGTTCTGGTAATAGATGGCACTTTGTGCTGTCTTATTCCGCCATTGGAATTGCTCTGAAGCAGCAAAGTCTGTAAGATATCGAGAGTTGAATAAAAAAAATGTTTTTTTGAATTTGTCAGGCAGATCCTCATAATATACTCGATGACATTAGAAGTGTTACACCTAGAAAAAATAATTTCGTAAGCCTTTTTGTTTTTGGCAACATAATGGTATGGTGTGGCAACAATGTCAACGTTTTATCTTTGTTTTTGTTTACCTTTGTTAAACGGTCATCCCTTAGTTTTTGTGAAGACAGCAGTTTCTGAGAGCTGGGTAGTACAGATATTTTTAGTTATCGCCCTTTCATTTACTGGTGTTAAGCATAACAAAATGCTTCGAGTTTGAAGACTTCCAAATTATCACCATGTTAGCGACTTTGACAGGGATAGAATTATTGCCTATCGAGATATTGGTTTGTCCTATCGCAAAATTGGCCACCGTGTTAATTGTACTGCAATGACGATAATGCGTGTGTGGACAGAAGAAGGTAGAGGAACATGAAGACGTACCACAATGGTTTGGAGAAGAAGGTAAACCTGTTTCTATGCGTACACTCTATCGCCGCATTCGAGCTTTTGGACTTTTTTCATACCGACAATGGTTAGTGCTTCCTCTGACTGCGGATCACTGTCGTTAACCTTTGAACTGGAGCAGAGAACTGCAAAATTTTGAGGCAGAATGGTAAAATTTCAGAATCGCGATTGTGTCTAGGTTTGCACGATGGTCGT